TATTGTTCAGATTCTTACACTTGTGTGGGGGGGGGGGGGGGAGAAAAAGATTGTTAACTAGAATATACTGCAGATGACCCCAAAGCCATTGGAGACATGGACTAAAGTCTAAAACAAATTTCATTCGGTCTTTCAGGGTGACGTACATATCCAAAACTGTATTAGTGGTTTTTTATGATTTTATGAAAATATTACTTGCAAACGAAGATTTAATTTGCCTGAGGCTGAGTGAGTGTGTGTTCATTGTCTGTGTACGTAACAGACATTTCAAACAATAAAAAAACGAATAGAAAACTATTAGCAAACGCTTACCAAAAATGACACTCCTGTCTCTCCCCCTCTGAAAGGAGCCATTAAACTTCACTTGAGACCTCTTTCATTGCACGGTTGTCTGCACAATGGTCTTTTTACAGATTTGAAAAGCCATACATGCCTGTTTGCTTCTTTTCAAAGGGTTCTGTGCATTTCAAAGCAAACTCAAAGCAACAAAACTGGTGTGAATGTAAAACTATTACTTACCGGAATGAGACCCAGCCAGGGAGCTTAGCAGCCTAGAATTCTGATTGGGCCCATCAAATAGCTCAACGGAGTCATTCATGGCTGTCTGGAAATAGGCAAATTGCCCAAACACCACTGAGGAAACAAAATGAAACGCACCGAGCGTGTTACTATCACCACTGCTGGGAAGAGATGCTAACAAAAGAAGTACAATGAATGAAGACATAAATTCACATAAATTTCTCATCGACATGCTTGCTTTCAGATCGATGGTTTTATAAGTGTCCATAATATGCAGTCTGCACAGAAGTATGTATAACCTAGTCACATCAAAATGGCATTTGACATTAAATTCATTATAATAGAAGATTTTGATTACAGAAATCATGCCGTGAAATTGTGAATAAAATGTGCGTACTGTAAACCCATACCACAGAACGCCACTTTTAGTGTTGCAGCAGCTAAATGTCCTGTGTGGGAATTAAGTTCGAGAGCTTGTGATTCACAAACAAATGACTGAGCTGGTTCTTTTTAATGAAACGAACCAAATGACTCACAAATCAAACTTATGTTGATTTACCACAAACGCATTGGGAATTAAGTCAGTGTATTTACTGACCTTGTTGTTCATGTAAGCATATATAGCTAAAGATTCAGCTCAAACTTTCATTGTAATAATAATATTTGTTTTCCTTTCTCACTGTTACTATAGTGTTATTATCATTGTACTCTTAATACCTCAAAATCATGAACCTCTGTCTGTAATGTATGCATTATGTGTATGTTTGGTCCCGTCTGGTGTCCATTCCCTCTGACCTGAGACCAGTGATGAAGCTGTGATTAAACGCGTTGCCAGAAAGGACACATGGTTCACACGGTAGGGCATAAGAGACCAGGGAAATCACAGAGGCATGCTGTGCATTTCAGGTGCTTATGTGAGAGCAAGCTAAGCAGAGAGGGGTGGAAAGGGGTCACCCGGGCCACTGCGACGACTCTATTATCTCTTCTGTAATGGGATGTCGGCCCTCGCTTCATACTCATACAGAACACAGAAAACCTGAAGGGTCGCTGCTAGTGGCTCTGTAAATATCAGTTTGACTGGATTTCTGTCGGCTCACAAACACTTCAACAAACTTCAAATGTTAAAGCTTTACTTACACTCCTATTTGCTTTGCATGAACTGCAAGGATTTGCAATGGATTTAGTAAACTGTGGTTTTGTGCAGTTGTGGATATAAAGTATGTCCAAAATATATATTTCTGTCAGGACCACTACCGTCAAAGATGATTGACAATTAGCATACAGTTTGGATTGGCGGTAAGGTTCTGTTATGGGCAAGAACTCCCTGCGTATACATGTAGCGTAGCATGGAAAAGAACAAGGAGAGCAGCGATAATACCCCAAGGGTAAACAGAACAGAACCAACATATAAGTATTGCAGATATCGTTAAAGTTCAATGATTTAATGTAACATTTTAGAAATTAGTCTGATTCAAAGGGCTATCACCACTGCTGGGAAGAGATGCTAACAAAAGAAGTACAATGAATGAAGACATAAATTCACATAAATTTCTCATCGACATGCTTGCTTTCAGATCGATGGTTTTATAAGTGTCCATAATATGCAGTCTGCACAGAAGTATGTATAACCTAGTCACATCAAAATGGCATTTGACATTAAATTCATTATAATAGAAGATTTTGATTACAGAAATCATGCCGTGAAATTGTGAATAAAATGTGCGTACTGTAAACCCATACCACAGAACGCCACTTTTAGTGTTGCAGCAGCTAAATGTCCTGTGTGGGAATTAAGTTCGAGAGCTTGTGATTCACAAACAAATGACTGAGCTGGTTCTTTTTAATGAAACGAACCAAATGACTCACAAATCAAACTTATGTTGATTTACCACAAACGCATTGGGAATTAAGTCAGTGTATTTACTGACCTTGTTGTTCATGTAAGCATATATAGCTAAAGATTCAGCTCAAACTTTCATTGTAATAATAATATTTGTTTTCCTTTCTCACTGTTACTATAGTGTTATTATCATTGTACTCTTAATACCTCAAAATCATGAACCTCTGTCTGTAATGTATGCATTATGTGTATGTTTGGTCCCTTCTGGTGTCCATTCCCTCTGACCTGAGACCAGTGATGAAGCTGTGATTAAACGCGTTGGCTTGCCAGAAAGGACACACGGTAGGGCATGAGAGACCAGGGAAATCACAGAGACATGCTGTGCATGTCAGGTGCTGGTGTGAGAGCCAGCTAAGCAGAGAGGGGTGGAAAGGGTCACCCGGGCCATTGTGACGACTCTATTATCTCCTCTGTAATGAGATGTCGGCCCTCGCTTCATACTGCTAGTGGCTCTGTAAATATTACTTTGACTGGATTTCTTTTGGCCCACAAACACTTCAACAAACTTCAAATGTTAAAGCTTTACTTACACTCCTATTTGCTTTGCATGAACTGCAAGGATTTGCAATGGATTTAGTAAACTGTGGTTTTGTGCAGTTGTGGATATAAAGTATGTCCAAAATATATATTTCTGTCAGGACCACTACCGTCAAAGATGATTGACAATTAGCATACAGTTTGGATTGGCGGTAAGGTTCTGTTATGGGCAAGAACTCCCTGCGTATACATGTAGCGTAGCATGGAAAAGAACAAGGAGAGCAGCGATAATACCCCAAGGGTAAACAGAACAGAACCAACATATAAGTATTGCAGATATCGTTAAAGTTCAATGATTTAATGTAACATTTTAGAAATTAGTCTGATTCAAAGGGGAATCAGAAGGCCGAATCTTGACTGGACGACAAGAGGAGCTGGGGATGGAGGAGGGTAATTAGCTATTGAGCAATGCGAAAGCTGCTAATAATACTGAGGGACCTTATATATTGTATGTATGCTGTGGTAGGTGTCGTATAGGTAGACGTGAATCAGCTGAGAGTCAACTGATGCAAGCTTGACTAACATGACCTGCCAGAACTAACTCTACGCTTGATTTAAGCAACTCACATTGAATGTTATTTCCATATGTAATGGAATATTATACATACTTCCGTAGTGTCTTTTCTTTCTTTAAACAGGATAATAGTTTTATATTCAGATATATGTTTTTAAACACATTGTGAGTATTTATGCTTCACAAAATGAATTGTAGTGGTGGGGGGAGGAAACGAGGAATTTCACACAGAACAGTCTTTAATTATCCACAGGAGGAAAAACACAGGGTAGCCAGGAGACACACGTAGCATAATGATGTTTAGAACCGACAAACACAGACGGGCTTATAAACACAGGGACAAAATAGACACAGCTGGAATTAAACTAACACAATTAACACAAGGCGAAACTGGGTCATGGGAAAACTGGGGGGGGGGGGGGGGGGGGGGGGGGGGGACTTCAAGTAAACATTATGCAGGAATTAAAAATATAATTGTTAGCATCGCAACTATGGTATTTTCAAATGGTTAATTACAATTTACTAGTGATTTCTGAGTGAACAGCTTTTTGGCCGTTTTTTTTTTTAGCTTTTTAAGAACATCCCACTCCAATAACTCTATAAATTGAACTGTGACCTTTGTAAGTAACGCTATTTACTTACCAAATTCTCCAGACACTGTGATGTAGTAGGAGCAGGTCTGGCCTGTCGTATAGTTGAGAGGGTAATTTGGGGATAATACCACTCCCTCTGATCCAGTGTACTGCCCACCGCATGGTGCTGAAACAAGAGAAACAACCCTAAAGGCTCATATTCACTCTTGTTCAGTCCATATGACACAAGCTTATGAGGTCATTTTTAGTACTGTATTAGATACGTGATGACCAGTGAGGTTAAGGGAGCTCTCCACATTTCAAAAGACAGAAAACAGGAAAGTGCAATCAAAGTAATTTTTTTTCCATTATGATTGGTCAGATCTAAAAAATGTACTTTGCCTTTTGTGCTTTCAGGATTCAATTTGTCACAGACTCTGTTTCATGTCCACATTCTATGTGCTAAAGGTACATTCTAATCCCTCGATAGTGCACTTCGAAGTCAATATTTGGCCAATATAATTTAATTCCAAATAGTAAATAGAGATGAAGTGTGCATAGTTATAGCAATTCACAAGAAGTGAACAGGGGTATTCAACAATTGCATGCTACCATAGTACCACACAAAGTTTGGCTAAAATAAACTATGATGAACCCATTTATATTAATTGGAATAAATAATAGTATGTATTTTTATATAAACACACCTAGATGCATACATACATATATGTACATATATACATTTATATGAAAGTATGATATTTTTATATAAACACACCTGTATGTATTATATAAATTTATAATGAAGTATCGTCATTTATAATATTTCTATTTACATGATCATGTCATAATATTTGAAACTCCTAATCTGCATGACTCAATTGTTGCCCGTGTTTGATGACGTTGTAGGGCCTTACAGATGAATGAATTTTGTCAGGCAAAATGAGCTTCAACAGATATTCCCTGCTGAGTGTGTAGGGAGCAAAAATCACGATTTCAAGGCAAACCTTATTTAAAAAGAAGGCAGTGTTTGAATAACAGATGAGTGGAGTAATTACCAGAGGAAATAAAAAAAAAGAAAGAAGAGGAAAAAAAGCAGTTTTGACTGACATACTTTGAAACACTGCTGTTTTTAACAATAAGTCAGCGCACATCAAACATAATTCACAAAGACAGACGTAGCTCTCCCTAATAACAACTCAACAGTAATCACAATTCAGGCCCAGTGGGTGTAGGTATTGTGTGGACTCGTACAAGCTAATAACACCAGATCATTCCATCCAGCAGCAAGTTGTTCACTTAACTCCTAAACATTTATTGGAACAAGAAAGTCAATAACAAGGTATTGGAAAATGTACATACCTTTATACAAGCAGGGTTAATTTGCTTAGGCTTGACATTGATTGCAAAAACCAGCTTTATGGTAGCGCTGCTAGAATGGCCTACAATTAACACATCATGCACACTGCGTGGAAAGGCTATTGGAATTGCTACGGGCAATTAGGGTTAGTGATGTTAGTTAGTTAGGGTTAGTTAGTTATCCCTGTGATGCGCATTTTTTATGGACACATCTGTATAGCCTCTGACAGTTATTTTAGTAAAACTGATTCGTAATTCAGGTCTGAGCACAAAGAGGGAGTATTGAGGAGGAGCAGCCAATGAAGACTATAAATCATCTGTGTGTTGGTGCATTGGCGTGTGTTATCTCTTTATCAGGCCCATAATGGGTAGAGGCTAAACACTTAGGTGTTTGACTGTGCATGACAGGAAAAACAAGCGAAAATCAACCACAAAGGTCACCAAGAGGAAAAGTGTAAAAATGTGAGGCTAAGAAGGTCAGCGAAGAGTATTTGTGGAGATATTAATCAGTGTCAGTGCTCCTGTCACACCTGGCCCATAGCGTAGATGACCTTGTAACCGATGGACCACCCGTGATAAGCAGTGTTGGGGAACTCTACTTTTAGAAGTTATTGTAAGAAATCAGCCTATAATTTGGCATTTAGAGATAACTGTGGTCGATAACAGTGCTTGCTTGGCTGATTAACAGAAGTGCTATCCATCCCCGTATCGGTTCCAAAAGAGCAAAAGTTATTTTTTTTTTTTTTAGACAAAATGTGTACAACAAGAGTTTATATCAGCAAGTGTTAATGTTACGCATGCCATTTTATCATTGATTTACAAGAGGCCATGGATTTGTTGAGCTGTGCAGAGGGCGTAATATCCATGCAGTCCTGCTCATTTTATTACATTGTTAATTTCAGCCACCTTAATTTTAATGTAAGAGCAGACATGGCTGGGCCATTCAAGAACAGTCACAGAGTTGTTGTGAAGCCACTCCTTCGTTATTTTAGCTGTGTGCTTAGGGTCATTGTCTTGTTGGAAGGTAAACCTTCGGCCCAGTCTGAGGTTCTGAGCACTCTGGAGAAGGTTTTCGTCCAGGATATCCCTGTACTTGGCCGCATTCATCTTTCCCTCGATTGCAACCAGTCGTCCTGTCCCTGCAGCTGAAAAACACCCCCACAGCATGATGCTGCCACCACCATGCTTCACTGTTGGGACTGTATTGGACAGGTGATGAGCAGTGCCTGGTTTTCTCCACACATACCGCTTAGAATTAAGGCCAAAAAGTTCTATCTTGGTCTCATCAGACCAGAGAATCTTATTTCTCACCATCTTGGAGTCCTTCAGGTGTTTTTTTAGCAAACTCCAGCATGCAGTTTTTAAATGAAGGTTTTTATTATTAAGGGAAAACAAAATCCAAAACTACATGGCCCTGTGTGAAGAAGTGTTTGCCTCCCTGTTAAAACTGTGGTTTATCACACTTGAGTTCAAGTTTGAGAGTCAAGTTTTAAATAGGAAAAATATAGAAACTCTTTGGTCATTTTTGAGCGTGATGCTAACGGTCTAATCAGATTCAATGATCTGTGCTATCGACAGACCCGGAGATCGGCTGAATGGATTCGAAAACGGTAAAACTCAACTGTTTAACTCTAGGGGAGTTGAAAAATGAGCCTGTTTTCAAAAATAGTGGAGTGTTCCTTTAATATGTGATTTATAAGTACTAATAAACAGCCAATATGCTAGTAATATGCATGCTAATAAGCAGGGTTTAAATTGGGCCTGGTTCGGGCTCAACATTAACTCTTCATTAATGCCAGACAAGTAACATGATTAAAACATCAGTAACCAAAAATAACTATGTAGCCTAAACACCAAAGTATTTAGTGTCCAGTAAAGTATTATTCAGATTTTATTACATTTAGAGTAAGTGGCGAATAGTGGATATAGCTACTGTACATAATGCATCTATTGACGGAATAAGCTTGCACTACTGAGGTGAGGCTCACGCAGCCTCTCCAGGAGAAATCAAAACGTGGAGCACTAAGAAACTCAGCATCCTGAGGTAAAAATTCAAAATGGAAAGTTTTTATATTTAAAATAGTTAATTAGGCAACATC